TTTTTTTTTGCAGAACCGGGGATTGAACTCAGATCCTTGCGTTTGCCACTCAAGCACTTATCCTACTAAGCCATCTCCCCGGCCCCTAAGAAATCTTATTTAAAACACATTAACTTACACCTTTATTGACACACAGAAGCCAAGCAAATACATGATGCATAGATAAAAAGCCAAGCAAATACATTATACATACTTTATACATAAATGTTTAAAATAAATGTACTCTAATATCCCCTTGCATCAAAGAATAAGCTTTTTCTAAAATCTGTACTTATGCTAATTTTTTCTTACCATCAAGTAATATGAATTTTATTCCACAGATGGTTGGAACATTTATACTGAAAACAAGATAATTTTTCAAGGTCCCTTCAGAAATTGATACTGAAAAACTAATATATAACTTTTGACTTGAAGAAATTTTAGCTATTAGCTGGCATTGTTAAATCTTTTTTCTCGGGGGCCAGGGAGATGGCTCAGTGGAATAAGCGCTTCCCTGACAAGTGCAAGGGCTTGAGTTCAATTTCCAGTTCCGCAAAAAAAAACAAAACAAACAAACAAAAAAAAAACCTTTTTCTCAATTATGCTGTGCCATAATTCTCAATTTTCCTTTCTCAAATATTTCACTCAGTCATTCATGAAACAGTGATATAATCTACTTTTTTGTTGTTGTTGTTGTTCCTCAAATGCCTTCGGGGCACTTTTGGCCAGCTGGAGAGGTGTGAGGTTCGAACTCCAGCAACCTGAGGCTGACAGCTTTGTGGAAGCAGCCACTTAAAGGCCTGAGCTACGGCCAGGCCCTCTATAATCTACTTTTTAAAAAGAGAAATCATCTTAAAATTTACCCAAGTTCAATTTTTATCACATTAAAAATTAAATATAAAATGAGTTTGTACCTGGCAAAAAGACAGTTATAACCTTTGACATTTCCTCCACAATTTCCTGCCGGGCTTTGAGGTCCTCGTTGGTTATTCCTTGTTCTTTTGCTACTTCAACAATTGCAGCACTTAAAGCAGCCAAGTGAGCAGGGGAAGGAGAGGGCAGAGAACGAAGCTCACTTTCTTCCTGTTTTTCCTATTAGTGTAATGTTTCACAACAACAAGGTTTCTATGTTAATTCCTTATATTTAGGAGAAAAGGACAGAAATATTCACCTTCTATCATCAGATATAAGATATCTGCAATACAAAAGTGAACAAAAGAGGGCTGTGGATTTAGCTCAGCAACCCCGGAGCCTGCTTGGCAGGTGCTAGGTCCTGAGAAGAGAACTGAACAAAAGAGATAGAAGAAACCTCCACTTTTGTAAAGTAGGATTCAAGGAATAAGTCACTGCTAGGAAGTTGTGTTGGTAGAACTGGGAGTTGAACTCAGGACCTATATACTAAGTGAAATCACAATCTCTTTCTCTCAATATCAATAAATATATCAATATCAATATATTGCCCAGGCTGGGCTACAATTATCAATCCTCCAGCCTCAACCTCTCAGAGTGCTGGGATTATAGACAGCTGTTATTAGTTTAGTGCTCCCCCTAGCGGACTAATTTTCAATGTAGTTCTCAATTCTTGCTCAGCAATCCCTAACTTCAATTCTCCAATTTTCTCATTCCCCAGTCCAAATTCCACCGACTTCCTCTAGTCTGAAAAGTTGCTTCCCTGCTCTTCTGGGGCATACAGAAGTCTAATTCAAGCCTCAGCCAATAGATCTTTCTGCTTTGATATGTCATCCTCAGGTCTTAACTTACCTGACAGGTAGGTGCCACCATGCCCAGCTTTTGTTCTACTGTATGATCTGTATAAATTCTGTACTTCTACTTCAAAACTAAAATACTATAAAATCAACAGTTTTGTGGGCTTTTCTTGCAGCAAAGGCAAGATTCTTAAGCATAGAAAAAGAACTTCAATCATATCTAATTGGCATATATGGTGTCAGATCCTAAGTACTATCCTCACATCTGAAGTATTGTCAACTACTTACAATTCATTTTTGTCTGTTATTTTATCCCATGTTAAGTTAATATGTTCAAACAAATAAATTTAGTCTGCTAAAGCTCTGAAAGCCCATGTAAGCAAGGAGCAGGTGTATGCTACCACACCCGGATAATTTATAAATCCATTCACCAGATTATTTTTTAAATGTAAATTAACAAATCGGGCATGGTGGCACACACCTATAATCGCAGCACTCAGGAAGCTGACAGGAGGATTATTGCAAGTTCAAGACCAGCCTAAGCTACAAAGTAAGCTCAAGGCCAGCCTGAACTCCACAGTGAGACTCTATCTCAAAACACACACATACATACACACACACACACAAATTACCAATCTACAAAAAATATAGGAAAATACACAGAAGAAAATTATTGACAGTCTTTTATAATCTTGTTTAATGTAACCAGCTATTGCATTTATTATCACAGGCATTTTCTGTTAACAATTTTCAGCCAGTAAGTAATCTCTTTTGAGAGGGAAAGGGATTTTTTACTTTTGAGACACAGGGCTCCCCATCACATAATCAAAATTAACTGCCTCTCTACTGTGCAGATATAATTAAACAAAAACTTTGATTCATTTCTAACTTAACTTGTTGATACCATAATGAGTCTCAACATAGGTAAAGCTTACCTTAGACACAGCATCATGAAACAGCTGGATTAGTCAAACATAATGGGGACTGAACCCTGGCTCTTGGCACTAAGCTATATCCATACTCTTCTTTTACGTTTAGGTTTTAGGAAGGGCCTCACTAAGTTGCTCAGGCTGAGCTTGAATTTGCTATCTCCCCCCCTCATAACAGAATTATCAAATATAGTGGATTAGTCAAGTTTCTGTGACCATTTCTCTAATTCTTACAGTGTAAGTCTTCGATAATTATCTATAATTTCAGGGCTAGTTTTTTTTTAATTATTTATTTACTTATTTAGGGGGGGGGCAGCTCAGCCCACCAGGGGGCGGGGCGGGCTGGCGTGTGGTGCTGGGGGATTGAACCGTGGTCCCTGTGCTTTGCTAAGCTTGTTCTAAGTAGGTGCTTTAGACCACTGAGCCATCTCACCAGCCCTCAGGGCTAGTTTTTTAAAAAATATTGTCAAAAGGATTAATAGCACCATACTTAGGCCAGGGAGATAGCACAGTAGAATAAGTGCCTGCCTGGCAAGCACAGGGTCCTGAGTTCAATCTCCCGTAACAACCAAAAAAAAAAAAAAAAAAGCACCTTACTTGCCAGCATGATGGTACATGCCTGTAATCCCAGCACTCAGGAGGCTAAGCCAGGAAAATTACTGACAAATCAAAACCAGCCTAGACTATATAGTGAGTTCAAGACCAGCCTGAGCTACATACATAGTGAGACCTTGTCTCAAAAAACAAAAAAGCACTATGCTTAAATGAAAAAATCCTAAGAATAGCATGCTACAATATCATATAAAGATCTCCAGCACCACACACACAAAAAAATATTAAGTACCATAAAATGCTCTGAATTATACTGTTAATTTTCACAAAAATAGGAACATAAAAGATAACTAAGGAATATACCCATATACCTAGGCTATTAATACGCCTATGCTACTTCCTTTATAATATTTCATCATTTTCATAAAAAATTCACATCACTGACCACCCTTATATCCTCTTGATATCTTCATATACGCACTGTCACAAATACTACCAGTACATTATCCCTGTCCTTATGTAACTCACATTCCAGCTGTAAGGAACAAGATGCATACATATATGCCAGATAGTACTATTTAAGAAAAAAAAATTTAAAAAGAAAAACAAAATAGGGTATAACATTACAGAAGGATGGGAAAGTAGCATTATATTAGAATCGTGTGGACAAAAAGACCATGCCAATCACTTAAGTGGAGACTGGAACAAAGTGAAGGAGAGAGACATTTGAATTTCGGGAAGAATGCAATCCAGACAGTAAAAATAGTAAATACAAAGACTAAGAGAGTCTCTAATATTATATGAAGACACATGGTAACTGCAGCTGAGTAACAAAGGGGTAATCAATGAGACTGATTAGTTAATTAGAAATCAAATACTATATAATCTTACAGGACATCAAGTTTTATTCAAAATTGTGAAGCCAATAAAGGGACAAGAACAGAAACTAACATGATATGACATTTTATTGTTTTGTTGTGTTTTTCTTTTTGAGACAGGGTGTTCAGGTTGGCACTGAACTCACTTTGTAACCCAGGCTGGTCTCAAACTCTCAATAATATGCAGGCCTCAGTCTCCCAAGTGCTGGGATTACAGGCATGTACCACCACACCCGGCTTGATGTGATGTATTTTAAAACAACAATCTAAATTGCTAAAAAGGGATGAAAATGTAGGGGTTAAACAGAGAAACAAATCAAAAATAATCCAGTAAAAGAAAGTAGTAGCTTAGCTTAAGGCAAAAGGTGAAAGTGAATGACAATTTTTTTTTTTTTTAATTTAGAACACATGTAATGGTAATTTGAAGTTAAAATTTCCTAGCATTGGCTAATGGTTTGAATGTGAAGCTGGAGAAAAGAATTAGTTGCTCACACCTACAATGGAGGCTGAGGCAGAAAGATGACAATTTAGTGATTTAACTAGATCCCATGTCAAAATTTTAAAATGGAAAAATGTTTAAAGTAAAAGAAAGGAGAAAGTCTAGACTACATCTTGAAAAGACTCAGGGTTCAGGCTGGTGAGATGGCTCAGTGGTCTAAAGCCCCTACTTAGAACAAGCTTAGCTAAAGCAAAGGGACCGCGGTTCAATCCCCCAGCACCACATGCCAGCCAGCCCCGCCCCCTGGTGGGCTGAGCTGGCCACACACACACACACACACACACACACAAATTTAAAAAAAAAACAAAAAACTCAGGGTTCAAAAATAATAAATAAATAAAAATTAAAAAGGGGTTAAGGGAAAAAAGAAAGATGAATCAAGAATAGCATAAAGGTGTTTTGCCCTGAGCACTGGACAAACAGTGGTACCCTCTTTGGAGGTAAAAAAAATCAATGTAAGATATACTAATAGAAGATCAATGTAATAAGTATTAACAGAATAAGAAAAAACCTGTATGATCATCTCAACTGATGCAGGAAAAGTAAACAAAATCCAACACTCAACAGACTAGAAAAAGGAAGCTATGGTAATATAATAAAGGTCATATATGAAAAACTACTGGCTAACAAAATACTAAATACCAAGATTAGAAGTTTTTCCCCTAAGAACAGAAGCAAGCAATTGTTGTTTTTGCCTCTTGAATTTAAAAAATTCCACGAGTTCAAGCTACAGCAATTAGGCAAGAAAAATGAAAGACATTTAAAGTGGAAAGGTTATAAAAGTATGTTTGCGAATGTATGCAATATATTAATTATTGAAACTGTCCTACCAATTTGGTTTGAAACTGTCTCATTGCTATTTGTTTCTCAATAAAATTATGGGAAAAAAGACAATAAATAAATAAATATGTTTGCAAGTAGAATGATTGTTTAAGTAGAAGACCCTAGAAATTACACCCACAAACTAGTAGAGTTCAGCAAAGCAGCAGGACACAAAGTCAGCACACAAAAATCAACTGCATTCCTATACACAATGAACAATCTGAAAAGGAAATTAACAATTCCATTTATAATAACCTCAAAAAGAACAAAATACTAAGGAATTACATAACCAAAATAAAATATTTATACAATAAAAACTATAAAACTACTCAACAAGTTAAAGACAAATACATTCTATATTCATACACTGAAAGACTTAATATTATAAAATACTGGTATCTTAATATCTGAAAATTCAGTAGAATCCCTATCAAACTCCCACTGATTTTTTTTATGGAAATAAAAAAAAAAAACAATCCCAGTATGTACATACAATCTCAAGAGACTCCCAAATAATGAAAACAATCTTGACAAAAACAGCAGGAAGACTCATACTTCCAGGTTTCAATACGTACTACAGAGATACAGCAATCAAAATACTATGGTAAGGCATAAAGACCAGTAAACTAGAAAAGAGAGCCATAAATAAATCCTCACATAGTCAAATGATTTTTCACAAAGGTGTCACAGCCATTCAATGGAGAAA